TGCACCTCCGGAATGACTCCATGAACCATGCCTTAGGGGTGATGCAGGAAGTCGTCGGTCCTAGTGTCCCAGTGTTCATACCCCCACCCTTGATCCTGAAGCAGTTGTTCTTGATATCATTATCGCTTATGGGATCCCAGGCGGCAGGATCCAAGGCAATATTGCATAAGTGTGGTGTCTGGTACCAGATCCAGCAGAGCCTGGAGCCGAACCTCACGCCCAACCTACCCCACGGTTCCTCCCCCTAACCAAGGTACCATGAACTTTTGCTCGGCGGGACAGTTAAAGGGGGATGGCTGTGTAACGTGGAGTTTCTAGGCATCTCAAAGGGACCAAGTGGTAGGTCCTTCTCTTGATGGGATGGTCACCCCCTGAGTTGTGGGGGAAGCTAGATTGATGTTTCCGTTTGAATGGGCAATCCTTTGATGGGAGGCAGAGTCTGGGCTTTGCGAGTCTTACAAGCTGCCAGGGGACTCTCCTCGGTGGAGGAGAGATTTCTACTAAAGCGGAACCGCTGAAACTGTGGATACATATCCCTGTCGCACACAGATTGCGCCGGTGTATCCGGAATACAGTGTGTTACCAGCCACTGGACACTCCAGGTGGTGATACACGATTAAAAAATTTTGCTGCTATTTCCGCCTCCCCTGTCGATGTCTTAGGGATCCCCCTCAAAGCAGAGGCAATCTGACAGGAGGTAGACAGTTTTCTTACTAAGGGCGTAATACACAGGGTAGAAGACCCGGCAACAAGTCCAGGCTTCTACTCACACTACTTGTAGTTAAAAAAGCTACAGGTGGCTGGTGTCCAGTTTTTCATCAGTCCAAGACACCTTGCATGAAAGTTATGTCTATGTCTATGTTTCCGTAGACATTTTTTTGTCTGTAAGCACTTCAGCGCCTAATAGATAAATTAAAACTTTCAGATTGGAATAATAATAACAATACATATTCGTTCACTACCTTATCTGTTATACAGTAATATACAACACAGGCTGCAATGCTAGTAAGACAAGGTTACTCGACAAATACACTGGTTAAGTTTTTTTGAAACATGAACTAATAATTACCAAATACTACATCAAGCAAATTATACAAGACAACATTCCTAATTACGACTCTATATAGATTTGTTATGACTTTTCAAGCTTAGGCCATTTGTGATGGGTGTGACTAGTCACCAAGGTATGCTTACTCATTTCGGAAATGTGGTACTACAGCTGAGCTGTCAGTTCTCTATTTTGAACTGCTTCTATGGACCGAGCACATTGTGTTGCGTTTTGAGGCATTGAACGCTTCTTCTGTTGTGACACACCTATATACACGAGCTCCAGTTGTCTTGTCAACCAATCTCACATTCCTAATTAATGAGGTTGTCAAAGTAACGACTGCTGTTACTGATCTATCACCATCACCATATGTTGTCAGATGTAGGTTACTGTTGTGGGTTAGTTAATAACTCATGCTTAATATAATAAATTGTATGGTAACATAAAGTCAATGTCTACGATCATAAGTCTAGGCGGAAAATGTACTAATATATTTTGCAATCATAGCTCCCACTCGATCACTCTCTGCTCTAGACGGCATACGTACATAGAGTCGCTAGATTTTAATTTGCCAATGAAACCAGCAGTATTTATCAGAAATTATTCCACTCATGTTATTTCAAAAGTTCTTTAGCAATTTGAAGATAGCATTAGGATTTTATAACTTGAAAATTCTTCAACCTGCAGAGTGTGCATTGATGAATAGTCCAGATACAGAGCAATAGTTTCATCATCCACAGTATACATTGATGAGCAGTCCAGACATAGAGGAATGACTTTATCATTCACAGTATGCATCGATGAGTAGTCCAGATATAGAACGATGACTTCATCATCCACAGTATGCATTGATGAGTAGTCCAGACATAGAACAGTTGCTTTATCATCCACAGTGAGCATCGATGAGTAGTCCAGACATAGAACAATTGGTTCATCCTCCACAGTATACATTGATGAGTAGTCCAGACATAGAACAATGGGTTCATCCTCCATAGTATGCATCGATGAGTGATCCGGACATAGAACAATGTCTTCATCCTCCACAGTATGCATTGACGAGTAGTCCAGACATAGAACAATGGCTTCATCACCCATAGTATGCATCGATGAGTAGTCCAGACATAGAACAATGGCTTCATCCTCCATAGTATACATTGATGGGTAGTCCGGACATAGAACAATGAGATCATCCTCCACAGTATACATTGATGAGTAGTCCAGACATAGAACAATAGTTTCATGCTCAACTGTGTACATCGATGAGTTGTCCAGACATAGAACAATGGCTTCATCCTCTACAGTATGCATTGATGGGTAGTCCAGACATAGAATAACGGCTTTATTCTCCACAGTATGCATTGATGGGTAGTCCGGACATAGAACAATGGCTTCATTCTCCCAAGTATGCATTGATGAGAAATCCAGATACAGAACAATGGCTTCATCATCCACATTATGCATTGTTGAGTAGTCCAGACATGGAACAATGGCATTATCACCCATAGTATGCATCGACGAGTAGTCCAGACATAGAACAATGTTTTTATCCTCCACAGTATGCATTGACGTGTAGTCCAGACATAGAACAATGGCTTCATCACCCATAGTATGCATCGATGAGTAGTCCAGACATAGAACAATGGCTTCATCCTCTACAGTATGCATTGATGGGTAGTCCAGACATAGAACAATAGCTTCATTCTCCCAAGTATGCATTGATGGCTAGTCCGGACATAGAACAATGGCTTCATTCTCCCAAGTATGCATTGATGAGAAATCCAGATACAGAACAATGGCTTCATCATCCACATTATGCATTGTTGAGTAGTCCAGACATGGAACAATGGCATTATCACCCATAGTATGCATTGACGAGTAGTCCAGACATAGAACAATGTTTTCATCCTCCACAGTATGCATTGACGAGTAGTCCAGACATTGACCAATTGCTTTATCATCCACAGTGAGTATCGATGAGTAGTCCAGACACAGAACAATGCCTTCATCCTCCACAGTATGTATTGATGAGTAGTCCAGACATAAAACAATGGGTTCATCCTCCACAGTATGCATTGATGAGTAGTCCAGACATAGAACAATGGCTTCATTCTCCACAGTATGCATTGATGGTAGTCCAGACATAGAACAATGGCTCCATTCTCCCAAGTATGCATTGATGGGTAGTCCGGACATAGAACAATGGCTTCATCACCCATAGTATGCATCGATGAGTAGTCCAGACATAGAACAATGTTTTTATCCTCCACAGTATGCATTGACGAGTAGTCCAGACATTGACCAATTGCTTTATCATCCACAGTGAGCATCGATGAGTAGTCCAGACACAGAACAAAGCCTTCATCCTCCACAGTGTGTATTGAGGAGTAGTCCAGACATAGAACAATGGGTTCATCTTCCACAGTATGCATTGATCAGTAGTCCAGACATAGAACAATGGGTTCATCTTCCATAGTATGCATTGATGAGTAGTCCAGACATAGAACAATGGCTTCATCCTCCACAGTATGCATTGATGAGTAATCCAGACATAGAACAATGGCTTCATCCTCCACAGTATACATTAATGGGTAGTCCAGACATGGAACAATGTCTTCATCCTCCACAGTATGCATTGATGAGTAGTCCAGACATAGAACAATAGCTTCATTCTCCACAGTATGCATTGATGGTAGTCCAGACATAGAACAATGGCTCCATTCTCCCAAGTATGCATCGATGAGTAGTCCAGACATAGAACAATGACTCTATCCTCAAAAGTATGCATTGATGGGTAGTCCAGACACAGAACAAAGTCTTCATCCTCCACAGTGTGTATTGATGAGTAGTCCAGACATAGAACAATGGGTTCATCCTCCACAGTATGCATTGATCAGTAGTCCAGACATAGAACAATGGGTTCATGCTCCATAGTGTGCATCGATGAGTAGTCCAGACATGGAACAATGTCTCCATCCTCCACAGTATGCATTGATGAGTAATCCAGACATAGAACAATGGCTTCATTCTCCACAGTATGCATTGGTGAGCAGTCCAGACATAGAATAATGACTCTATCCTCAAAAGTATGCATTGATTGGTAGTCCAGACATAGAGCAATGGAATAATCCTCCATCGTATGCATTGATGAGTAGTCCAGACATAGAACAATGATTTAACCCTCCACAGTATTCATTAATGAGCAGTCAAGACATATAACAATTGCTCCGTCATCTACAGTATCATTGACGAGTAGTCTAGACATAGAACAATAGCTTCATCTTCCACAGTCTGCATTGATGACCAGTCAAGCCATATAACAATGGCTTCATCCTCCACAGTATACATTGATGAATAGTCCAGCCATAGAACAAGGGCTTCATCCTCCACAGTATGCATTGATGACCAGTCCAGAGGTAGAACAATGGCTTCATCATCCACAGTATACATTGATGAATAGTCCAGCCATAGAACAAGGGCTTCATCCTCCACAGTCTGCATTGATGACCAGCCCAGAGATAGAACAA